CCGTGACCGTGACCGCGGGCACCGCCCCGGGCCCCGAGCCCTCCCCGTGACCGTCACCGTGGGCGCCACCCCGGGCCCCGAGCCCTCCCCGTGACCGTGACCGTGGGCACTGCCCCGGGCCCCGAGCCCTCCCCATGACCGTGACCGTGGGCAGCGCCCCAGGCCCTGAGCCCTTCCCGTGACCGTGACCTCGGCTTCTGCCCCGGGCCCCGAGCCCTCCCCGTGACCGTGACCGCGGGCACCACCCCGGGCCCCGAGCCCTCCCCGTGACCGTGACCGCGGGCGCCGCCCCGGGCCCCGAGCCCTCCCCGTGACCGTGACCTCGGGCACCACCCCGGGCCCCGAGCCCTCCCCGTGACCGTGACCGCGGGCGCCGCCCCGGGCCCCGAGCCCTCCCCGTGACTGTGACCGCGGGCACCACCCCGGGCCCCGAGCCCTCCCCGTGACCGTTACCGCGGGCGCCGCCCCGGGCCCCGAGCCCTCCCCGTGACCGTGACCTCGGCTTCTGCCCCGGGCCCCGAGCCCTCCCCGTGACCGTGACCTCGGGCACCACCCCGGGCCCCGAGCCCTCCCCGTGACCGTGACCTCGGCTTCTGCCCCGGGCCCCGAGCCCTTCCCGTGACCGTGACCTCGGGCACCACCCCGGGCCCCGAGCCCTCCCCGTGACCGTGACCTCGGCTTCTGCCCTGTGTCCCGAGCCCTCCCCGTGACCGTGACCGCGGGCGCCGCCCCGGGCCCCGAGCCCTCCCCGTGACCGTGACCGCGGGCGCCGCCCCGGGCCCCGAGCCCTCCCCGTGACCGTGACCTCGGCTTCTGCCCCGGGCCCCGAGCCCTCCCCGTGACCGTGACCTCGGGCACCACCCCGGGCCCCGAGCCCTCCCCGTGACCGTGACCTCGGCTTCTGCCCCGGGCCCCGAGCCCTTCCCGTGACCGTGACCTCGGGCACCACCCCGGGCCCCGAGCCCTCCCCATGACCGTGACCTCGGGCACCACCCCGGGCCCCGAGCCCTCCCCGTGACCGTGACCTCGGGCACCACCCCGGGCCCCGAGCCCTCCCCGTGACCGTGACCTCGGCTTCTGCCCCGGGCCCCGAGCCCTTCCCGTGACCGTGACCTCGGGCACCACCCCGGGCCCCGAGCCCTCCCCATGACCGTGACCGCGGGCGCCGCCCCGGGCCCCGAGCCCTCCCCATGACCGTGACCGTGGGCAGCGCCCCAGGCCCTGAGCCCTTCCCGTGACCGTGACCTCGGCTTCTGCCCTGTGTCCCGAGCCCTCCCCGTGACTGTGACCGCGGGCGCCGCCCCGGGCCCCGAGCCCTCCCCGTGACCGTGACCGCGGGCGCCGCCCCGGGCCCCGAGCCCTCCCCGTGACCGTGACCTCGGCTTCTGCCCTGTGCCCTGAACCTTGATGTTTTCCCTGAGGCTGACAGGGACGCCCGCTTCCTGCTCACCTGTCTGTGAGGCGCCTTTCTTGTCAGCCTCTTGCTGTGACTTGTTTCTTGTGGGTTTTTCTATTACCAGCTTCTAATTGAACGTTGCATTTTGGACCCAATCTGTAAACTTCCATCAGCGGGAGAGTTTTACCTATCCCATGGACAGATGTCCAGTATAGATTGGGAAGTTAATAAAGTAGTTTAAAAAAGCAAAAATACTACTACTAATAATAATGAGTTTAAATCTGGGGACTTCCCTGGTGGTCCAGTGGTTAAGACTCTGCCTTGCAATGGAGGAAGAGGGTTCAATCCCTGGTCCAGGAACTAAGCCTCCACTTACCACAGAGCAACTAAGCCCAAGCACCACAACTAAGCCCAAGCACCACAACTAAGCCCAAGCACCACAACTAGAGCGCTCACACACCGCACAGAAAGATTCCATGTGACGTGAAGAAAGTCCTGCATGCCCCAACTAAGACTGGAGGCAACCAAATAAATTAAGAAAAGATTCATTTTAAAAGTTTAAATCTAAATAAATACCTTAAAAATTAATTATAAAAATTATAAAATATAATAAATACACAGAAAGAATAAATTTAAGATATCATAATCCCAGAATCCAGTGATTACCTCTGTTAACTTTTTTGGTACACATCCTTCTAGACATGTTCTAAGAACGCAATTTTTACATGTAAAAAGATGGGGCCATGTCACACACTGCTAGTCCTAAAGTTCAAACTTTTAGGATCCTAGGACCAGTCTTCCTTGTTTGTTTGTTTCTTGGTAACATTTCTCTTTTTCCGTCTTCAAGATCTCCTCACAATAGCATTGACGGTTCTGGTTTTATTATAAACACTACAGGAGAGAGGCAGGATTTGGTTTCAGTGGCCAGAGAAGAGAGTTGAGGAGGTCAAAATATAGAGAGCTCTTGGGAGGGTGCGAGAAGGAAGTTTCCACCCAGGTGAACTCCCCCTTGGTAGTGGGCTGAATTCTCTTCCCCCAAAAGACATGTCCAGATATGTACCGATGTGAGAGTTGGCCCATAAGGAAGGCTGAGTGCCGAAGAATGCATGCTTTTGAACTGTGGTGTTGGAGAAGACTCTTGAGAGTCCCTCGGACTGCAAGGAGATGCAAGCAGTCAATCCGAAAGGAGATCAGTCCTGAATATTCACTGGAAGGACTGATGCTGAAGCTGAAGCTCCAATAATTTGACCACCTGATGAGAAGTGCCAGTTCATTGGAAAAGACCCGGATGCTGGCAAAGATTGAGGGCGGGAGGAGAAGGGGGAGGACGTGGTGGTTGGATGCCATCACCAACTCAGTGGACCTGAGTTTGAGCAAACTCCGGGAGATGGTGAAGGGAAGCCTGGCGTGCTGCAGTCCATGGGGTTGTAAAGAGTTGGACGCGACCAAGCGACTGAACAGAAAGGTATGTCCAAGTTCTAGCTCCTGGTAGCTGTGAATGTGGCCTTCCTGGAAAATAGGGTCCTTGCAGAGGCAATCAGTTAAGGATAGTAAGGTATCCTGGATCAGATATTTGCAGAAGTGTGGACCCTAAATCCAGCAAGTGATGTCTTTATAAGAGAAAGGAGATTTGAGGCACAGACAAGGGACACCGGAGAAGGTAAAGACGGAGCAGGGATCAGAGGGAAGCGTCCACAAATCAGAGCATCCAGGACTGCTCACAACCGCCAGAAGCTCAGAAAGAGGTGCGGGACACATTCTCCCTTGGAGCCTCCAGAGTGAACCAGCTCTGCCAACACCTTGATGCTGGACGCCTGGCCTCCAGCCCTGGGAGAGAACACGTCTGGGTTGTCGTGAGCTGCCGAGCGCGTGGCCGTCTCTGAGGGCAGCCCCAGGGAGCTCGTCCACCGGGTCTATCTTAATGCTCGCTTCTTCCATTCTGCCCTGGTTGCCCGACTCCCCCAGTGAGCCGCTGAATACCTTCTCAGCAGACCTGGGAAGTCAGTCCTGATAAGTGGGGTCAGGCCTGAACAAAGCGTTCAGAAAACATTGGAGTTTTTCCCAGAATAAGAACCACATAATGTACAAATTGGGCCTCCTGGCTCTAAACATTCAAACTGATAAAGACAGTTGAAGACTCTGAGTAAAACTACTCAGATAGTGATTTATAGTTTACAAAGCACTTAAACCAAACCCCACCTGAGCCTTCCAAATAAAAACAAAGCCCCAACTCTCAGCTCTCCGTTGCCTCCGTCCTAGAGAGCACTCGAGTCTGATTAGGAATCCGCCCAAATGATCAAGTCTCATCTTTTCTCTTTGACCAAACTGTTACCTCTGCTGATAATAGTTGAGGAGATATCAAAGAGTGTGCCCTGCACAGAGAGAATTCCCTTTTAAATAAAAATCAGTTTTGCCCCTGGGTACCCATACATTGGGCTTCCCTGGTAGTTCAGACGGTAAAGAATCTGCCTGCAATGCTGTAGACCTGAGTTCGATCCCTAGGTCAGGAGGATTCCCTGGAGAAAAAAATGGCAACCCACTCTAATATTCTTGCCTGGAAAATCCCAGAGATGGAGGAGCCTGACAGGCTGCAGTCTGTAGGATGGCAAAGAGTCGGACACGACTAAGCAACTCACACATACACGCACATACATCCACATGTTTGTTCCCTACATCTGTGTTTTATTTCTGCTTTGCAAATAAGATCATTTATAGCATTTTTCTAGGCTCCACATATATGCCTGAACATGCAATGTTCGGTTTTCTCTCTCTGACCGACTTTATTCTCTATGGCAGCTTCTGGGTCCATCCACGTCTCAGCAAACAGCACGTGGTGGTGGCAGGGGATTGGGATGGATGCAGAAATACACTACTGACCCTTTGCATAGAGGAGGTAACTAACGAGAGCCTACTGTGTATCGCAGGAGCTCTACTCCATGTAGGAGCCTAAATGGGAGAGAAATCCAGAAAAGAAGGGATATGTGTAGACATAGCTGACTCACCTTGCCGTACAGCGGAAGCTAACACAACACGGTAAATCAACTGTCCTCAAAAGGAAATGATGCTAAAAAGCCAAATTTGCCAATAAACGTATTTTAGAAGAATTTCTTAGATCTTCTTAGCTATTTTTCTGCTCTGTACTAGTACTATACGAAGCACACCTTACTGTATTTACCCTTCCTTTCGTTATTATGGCAGCAGAAAAAAGTGCATATCATAGTTTCTAAGAAAAGTTGTGAGGGAGGGTTACAGGCAGCATCGCCTGTGGGGGATTATTTCCCCATATAATGACAGGGGTCTGTAAGAACTGAAAATAGATTGATTTGGAGGCAGTCCTGGGGTCTAGCATTTGAGGAACAGGTTCCCAGTTTTGCATTTTCAATGACGGCACTGAATTCCATGTGGTTAAAATTCCAAAAGTTAATTTTGTTTTCAGGAAAATGATCTATTGTGCTAACAGCTTTTATTTTACCTAAACTGTCATTCATTTGGATTGAAATGTATAAACTGTACTCATTACAATTTAGACCCACCCAGAGTAGGGAGACGAAGGTCACAGGAGAGTAATGAGAACATGCGCTCAGCAGACCTTCATTGTTTTCAGTTTCTCCCATGACCTGGGCCCCGTGCTGGGCGCAGAGAGACCCCGCCCAGGAGCTGAGTCCAGCGTGGGAGGCGGACGGGGCTCGCGCAGCGGGCTGTGTGGGTCTGGGCAGCTCCGGGGGGCACCCCGCCTCGGGGAGGGCCGCACCCTGGGCGGCGACACCTCCCTGGGTGCCGGCGGGGGAGGAAGGTGAACAAGGTGAAGGGAACCCCCACAGGTGCAAAGGCCCGGGGCTCTGGAGGCCACAGAAACTCTGAGAAAGCAAAAACGGAGCAGAAGGGTGGGAAGGGGGAGGCTGGGGAGTGGGGGAGACCTTGCAGAGATGAAGTCAACCCGAGGACAAGGCCTGGATGACAGAGGCCTTGGGCATCAGGCCAAGCCGCCTGTGTGCCCTGTGTCGGGGGGGACTGCGGGATCAGTGCAGAGTTTTAGGCAAGGTGTGATGTGAGCAGACCCTCGTGGCTGAGTCAGGATGGCACTAAAAAGAGGAAAAGGCCAGGGAAGGCCAAGGAAATTAAGCTCAGTCGTACACGTCTCATTAGGGAGCAAATCCCCACTGCCTTCAATGGCAGAGTCCACCTTTATTGAGAAAAGGATGTCCACATGGTCAAACTCTTCCACACGTTTTTATCTGTGTCCAGAAACAAAAGCAGCTTAACCAGAAAAACTGTTAATAAACTATTTTTCTGACTCCAGCACCTGAAAACAATGAGGTGTGAGATGACATGAGCATCTTTCCTTCTTCAGACACGCTGTGTGGCTGAGGCACCTCATTAAAGGGGCCGCCTTTCATCCCATGTGCTTGTAGGAGGCAGGCCTAATAAAGGGGATGCCTGAACATTTCCAACCAAATTCCCTCCGTGCAGGGTGTTAGAACAACTTATTTTAAGCAATTTTGATAGATACTTGCATATACAAGCAAGCACAGTCTTTGAACCAGTCCATTATATAACCTCACTTATCCCTGCAGGTAATGAGCTGCTATAAATGAAGAATTAGATATAATCCTGGGTTCTCTGTGTGTGCACGCGCAGTCAGACCAATAAGAAATGAACACACTTGTTAGGGACAACAGCCGCCTTCCACTTCACTTACCTCCTTTGAATTATTCTCTGCTCTCAATTCCAAATCAAGAAAAACACTCCATTTCCCAAGCCCTGCTATCAGATAAGCACCAGAAGAGGTAATATTGCTAGCAACTGCCAAGAAACGTGTTGGAGTGAGATGTATGAGTCTGCTGGTGTAACATCGAGAAATAGAGCCTTATATGCGTTCCCTTTTCTTTTCTCCCCACCTGCTATTTAGGGCATCCCATTCATTCATTCATCCACTCACTCATTCAAACGACTTTTAAGGCTCCTACTCTAGCCCTGTTTTGAACACTAAAGTGAGATTTCACGTCAAACAAGGTGCATACCCGCCTTCCTAGGGTTGACGAGCAGCGGCCGAGAAGCCGGACTTCTTTCTGGTGTTTCAGAAAAGGACGGTGTTTGGGTGGCACTGGCCCCACCTCCGCCCAGCCCTGCTGGCAGCCCCGGCCCTGAGCAGGCTCCCCAGGCTTGACTCAGCTCGTCACTCACAAGTGTCAGACCTGGGCACGTTATTTGTCCTCTGCAAGCCTCATTTTTCTCATCCAAAACGGAAATCCTAAAGAAGCCTACCTACTACGACTGTCACAGGGATTAAATAAAGATTTGATTGTAAAATGTCTACATCAAGGCCTGGCACATAGTAAGGACTCAGTTCATTTCTGTTATTACCATAAATGCCTTGGCTTCCTGCCAAGAATCATTTGTCACGTGATGCCATGTGTGGGGCAATAGCTTGGCTGCTGCAGGGGTCTGGCAGGTAATCTCCAGACAGGTAACCGTCTGTAAGGATAGCAGAATGCTGGAGTTTGCAGCAGGTGCAGCCCACGGGCTCCAGAGTGTAGGCTCCAGAGTTGTGACACACGGGCTTAGTGGGGTCTCAGTTCCCCGACCAAGGGTTGAACCTGTGTCCCCTGCATCGGCGGGAGGATTCTTAACCACGGGACCACTAGGGAAGGACCCAGGACCTGAGATCCTTGCTGCCTGTCCTTGGCTGGCGGCCTCCATCACGTCCTTGCCACGCGCGCCTCTCCAACATGGCAGCTTGCCTTATCAAGGCACACCACCCAAGCATGCAATAGAGGGAGCATACTAGAAAGATGGAAGCCATGATCTCATGTAGCCTAATCACAAAGTGTAACAGTCTGCTCAGCGCAGTGAGGGAAGCAAACGTCTCCATAGCAACCGTCTCTCCGAAGCTCTGAACATCTGTGCGCGGTGCCCCTCATCAACATCCTTGGGGTCCCAACTCCTCTGCATCTCCCCTAGCAGTTTCTTCAGAGTTAGGTTCTGGGAGAAGACAGAAGCACAACTTATTTTACCATCGTGTCAGCAACCAGAAGCTCCATGTCAGTTTCCAGGTGTGAATCTTAGCCCCTTGGGCAATTGTGGCACTGGCTCTAAAGCCTGTTCAGTCCCCCTTACTGGATCAGCATGCCCATTCCCGTTTCTACAGGCTTTGCTCCAGACTTTGCTCTATAATTCTCTTTGAGGCACTATCCTGGGTCCCCTGGAGCCACTTCATTCAGAAGCTTCCAGAATCAAAACAGCCAAGAAAATTACAAATCCCCATAGTTGGAGAAGGAAGTGGGAACCCACTCCTGTATTCTCATCTGGAGAACCCCATGGACAGAGGAGCCTGGTGGGCTACAGTCCCCAGGGTCGCAAAGAGTCGACGGGACTGAGCGCGCACACACAACACAACATGCTGGCCTGCAGCTGACGACTGCCTGGTGGAGAAGCATGAAAACCTGGCCTCCTTGTTTTCAGGCAGGATAAACTCTGCTGAGCAACTTCTTCTCGACATCTCCTCAGGGGTTCAAGCTGAGTCTGGAACTCTCCATGAAATCGCAACCTCCCCTGGTTACCTTCTGCTCCCTGTTCTGCTGTTCCTACTCCCTAATTTCTCTTGGGGCAACTTGCTTAGTAAATTATTTACACACAAACCATCTCTGCAGGGTCCGCATCTGGGGAAGCTGCCTAAGACAGAAGGTGCCATGAGCAGTCCCAAGAAGCTGGCGGAGAAACGATTCTGAGAGCAGCTCATTCACCAGCAAGACGAAAACGGGGACCCCATCTGTGGCGGTAGGTGGCCTTCTGTATCTTTTTTCTGTGTTTGTTAGGAAATCAGCATACCTTTGTTTCATAAAGGAAAATCGCATATAATGATTCATCTCATTTATTGCATTTATCTCATATAATAATTCATCTCATCTTACATTTAAGGACATTTGTGGGCTTCCCAGGTGGCGCTAGTGGTAAAGAACTGGCCTGCCAATGCAGGAGAAACAAGGGTTTGATCCCCGGAGTCAGGAAGATCCCCTGGAGGAGTGCTCAGCAACCCATTCCAGTGTTCTTGCCTGGGGAATCGCAGGGACAGAGGGGCCTGGCAGGTACAGTCCCTGGGGTCCCAGAGTCGGAGACGACGACAGTGAGAGCACAGCACAGGACATACGTACAGACCTCTGGGCCGCCGCAGTGTGTGACGGAGCATCAGGAGAGCAGACTGATTCTTACGCATCAAGCATTCATTGTGGCGTTCCATACGTGTGTCACTGCAGTTACTAAGGCTTTCATTCTTGGTGAACAGCGATGGGATATAGCTGAAAGGAGTTGTGCTGGCTTGTGCAGTATCTCTAGCTTTTGAGAAATTACAATCGTGAGGACTGTGTAATCAGGTGGCACTGGGCTTGAGCAGATCCAGAACACACTAGTAAACTGTGCAAAGTAGGAACCCAAGTCTACAGCTGTCCACCAACCAAGGCATCTTCATCCTCTCCCACCTACGCCCTCATGGACGGGTCCCCCATGACCAGCTGATACAGGAAAGATCCCAAGTGCGGTTCACTGATGGATTGACTCAGTACTGCCAGTTCAGTTCAGTTCAGTTGCCCAGCTGTGTCTGACTCCTTGCGACCCCATGGGCTGCACGCACCAGGCCTCCCTGCACACCAGCTCCTGGAGCTTGCTTAAACTCATGCCCATCGAGTCGGTGATGCCAACTGGCATCAGCTGAAAATGGACAGCCGCTCTGCAGCCCCGCCCAGGGGGGCTCTGATGAGACAAGTGAGGATTACTCCTCGTAGCAGGCAGAGCTCTGGGCATTGTACCTGGTGGTCCAGTCTGTGTGGAGAGAGGTAGCCCAGGGTAAAGATGCAAACTGACCCCACTGGTTGGCTGTGGGACTGGAAGGTGTGCAGCTGGAAGACGGGGTGCACAGAGGTTTGCGGGAAGAGGCCACGTGCAGTGAAGACCCATGTTTTGTACACTGATGCCCGCAACGAGCATGCACTGCCGAAGAAGCGTGAAGAGACGGGTGGGCAGGATGGCTCATCAGGTAGGTATCAGCCAGCATGTGCTGTCAGGGGCCTCAGTCCCAGTCACTAAGGCTCACGGGTGTAACAGCCATGGTAACACAAATGGAGGCTACATGCACGTGAGTCCGAAAGCCTGGGCTGCTTATAAGTACTGCTGAATGTCTGACCTGCCGGAGACTGACTCTGCGTCCCCTCTACAGGGCCATTTCTTGAGGAGACCAACCAGAGTCTTGTGTGCGTGGTCAATTGCTCAATAGTGTCCAACTCTTCGCTACCCCATAGATTGTAGCCCGCCAGGCTCCTCTGTCCATAGGATTTCCCAAGCAAGAATACGGGAGTGGGTCGCTATTCTCTTCTCCAGGGGATCTTCCCAACACAAGGACTGAACCCATGTCTCTTGCATCTCCTGCATTGGCAGGAGGATTTTTTACCACTGTGCCACCTGGGAAGCCAAACCAGAGTCTTGCTGGTAAGTAGTTAAGTAGGCAGCATTTTGTTCTGAGATTGATACAAATTCATGGTATGAATTTGCCTTTCCTGACCACAGTGCTTTGGCAAGATTCACTATTTGAGGTCTCAGAATGTCTGATTTATAGACACAGAATCCCACAAAACATTTTTTTTTTTGGTCCCAAAGAAAGCTATTCTAATGGGCAAATGACAAGGGGATCCACAGATGGCACAACATACACATCATTCTAACATACATTGTACCCACCTTCTGAAGGCAGAGGAAGACACCAACTTAGAAGTGGTACCTTGTGAGGTTGTGGCACCAACCTGCAGGTCACTGTATTTGCCTTAAACCAATAGCCTTTCTATTTTGCTGTGTCTCCAGGGAGTTGAATACATGGGTCTGGTAACCAAGAGGAGCAGCCTGGCTCCTTGCCACTCTTGGTGACGGGCTTGGGGAAGGCAGCCTTCCTGTCTTCACAACTCTAAGGCAGTGGGTCTAGCGGTTCCAGCTCCTAGAGGGAGAGAACTTCACACTAAGCTTAAAGCTACCACTGCAGTCCTACCATTTTGGATTCAGCGTTGGCGAAGAAAGCTATGATCACGCTGGCCAAGGTAACTGACCCTGATCATCACAAGAAGGCAGGGCTGCCTGCTACATGACTGGGGATGAATACGTTTGACACTCAGATGAGCCACTGGACTCTCTCTCTTTCCCAATTTTTAACTGCAAACAGGCAATTGTGCCAACCACTGCCTGATAAAGACCTAGTAGCAAGGAGCTAGGATCCCTCAAGGATGAAGATTTGGGTCACTCCACCAAGTAATCCCTAGACAGCAGAAGGGCTAGTTGAAGACTGAAAGGAAACTAGAATGGATGGTAGAGATGAGAGGTGATGGATAAACTAATATCATTTTGTTTCAGTCTTGGGGCCAGGGCCAAGGGCTGTGGTTGTCCCACTAGATTTGTGACCAGTTAGAACCCTGAGAAGACTGTGAAAAGCTGGAGACTGAACGTGAGAATGTGTGCATCTGAGTGCACGAGGGGCAGACTGCAGTGGATGCTTCTGGCGCTCTGCCCAGATGGGCTCAGAGCCTCCTGGCTGGCCCACTGCACCCCTCCCCCAGCTTCTGGGCGCTTCTCTCTGATGGCTCACGCCTGCAACCTTAATCTGCCGCGGCCACTGCACCCAGGCTCAGCCTAGAACCAAAAGTGCTCTCAGACCAAGGGATTCTCCAGGCAAGAACACTGGTAGGCAGCCATTCCCTTCTCCAGGGGATCTTCCCAACCCAGGGATCAAACCCCCTTCTCCTGCATTGCAGGCGGATTCTTTACTGTCTGAGCCACAAAATCCCAGCTCCCTTCCTTCAAGATGGGATCAGTTCACTGTGTAATTTGTGCTCCAGAGCTGCCTTGGATCCAGCTGAGGCTGGAACTTGACCTCAAATTGCCGCCTTGCTTGCCTTAGTCTCCTGCCCTATTTTGCTTCCCTTCCTAGTTTCTCCTGGAAGCATGTCCTTAATAAACTACTTGCACAGAAATCCTTGACAAAACAAGACAGTTCCCTAGTAGCACATAAACTCTGTGTGAACAGACACTGTTTAGGGGAAAAAAAAGTTTTTTAATCTCCTACCGTATGTAGCCCAGCATGGGATATCTACCAGAAGTCCATCTGGGGTTTGGCAAATTCTTTAAGATTTTCTTCCTCTAGTAAGAATCTTGAGGATCCTAAGTGGCGACTGCATTAGTATAGTACAGACAGGGACATTTGTAAATTACCAGTGATATATCAATGTAAAACACATGTCCCAGGTTTTTTGGACAACCCTGATTTCAGTTTTCCAATCTCCCTGTCAGACCATTTCCAGACAGCGTGTCCCAGTTGGTGTGGTGTTTGGACAGCAAAGGATAACGTGCTAGCCAAGAGGCAGCTGCGGGAGGACACTCAAGGATTATAAAAGCAGGGATCCTGAAGTTAGCAAGCCTGCCCCTCAAATCCTGGCTGCACAACAGCCGGCTCTTCGACCTTGGCCACGTTTTATCTCTGTTCGGACCAAGTTACTAGTTCCTACTCCACAAGACTGAAAATGAGTCAATCTAGGCAGAGTGCTTAGCTTTGCTCTTTGACCTAGTAAAGCTGAAAACGTGGTTCCTTCTGGAAGGGCAAGAAAGGCAGATGAAGCGTCCCCAGTGGGGCTCGGGGACGTCGCAGCCCTTACGGGGCCTGGCGAGGCAGAGCCGAAGCGTTTGCGTTCCCTTTCGCCCTCCGAAGCACAGGACACAATACTTTCCCAAGCAAACGGGAGGCGGACGTCATCCCGGCCGGAAGGGCCGACGGCCTCAGAGGAGAAAGGCCCCGAGACCCCGGACCGCCACGCGGCTCCACCGCCCACCGAACCCCTAGTCTGGGCTGAGATAGGCAAGGAGCGGCCGCCGGATCCCAGGCCGCGGAGGCGGACGCCAGCCGCCGGTTTCCTAGCAACGCCCGCCCCCGCCCCCGCCCGGCGTGGCAGGGGCGGGGCCAGGCGGCGCCGTTGCTATGGTAGCGCGTCCGCCGCGCCGGACGCGGGCAGCGCCGGCACTAGGCCGGCGCTCCCGGCCACTCGTGGGCAGCCTGGCGGCGTCCCTCCCGCCTCCGGGGCTCCCGCTCCGGCCCGGGGCACCCGCGCTGTCGGCCACCTTGGACGGCGCCGTGAGGCCGGCCTCTGTCCCGACCTGCTCCCGCGCCGCCGAGGCTAGCTGAACGCCTGGAGACTTTCCGGCCCATCTCGTGGGCTCGGGGTCGGTCCTCCGGGCCGGGTCTAGGGAGGAGGAATCGGTTTGGTTCTGGAGTCTCGCAGGACCTTTCCTCGCCCCCTCCCCAACCTGCGCAAGACTCCCGTCTTTTCCCTCGAGTGTTGCACCTGAAGGGTCTTTCATCTTGTAAAGAGAACATGCAGAAAACAGGACGGCTTCCAAACCCAGCCTTTTAAATCCACCCTGCCAATAAGGATCATGTTTCACGAAGGCCATTTTAAGCTGAAAATGCCCACGCCTGAAAGGAGAGTTCGGACTTGAATTTGCATTCTTCTCAGTCCCACCCTGCTTTGAGCTGCATTTGGAGAATTCACTTGTGGGGTATTAAATTTAAACGTATACGCCTCTAGCTAGTATTCTGTGTTATGACTGCTCTGTTAAAGGCACACAGACAAAGCCCCACGACTTTCAGTCATCCTCCGGCTTGAGTATTTTTAACAGAGGCAGAGGCAGTCACGTGTTTGTGAGTTTAATCAAATTGACAAGGGCTGTGAGCGACAAAGGTTTGCTATTTAATGCCAAGACTGCATTAGGTACAGAAAGATGCGTTCTCTTTGGACTTAACTTGAATCAGAGCTTTTCAAATGGAATCTTCTCTTGCATGTATTTTTCTCGATCTCCTGCCAGCGGAAAATTTAAATCAAAATTCTGTTTCTTATATTCATTTCTATGGTAAATGTGTCTAGGCTGAGATGATGCATTGTCTCGATCAACAAGGAGACGCGCAGCAATCACTGTGAATTGAACACCTTGCTGATTGAGCAACACTTGAACCTGGAGGCAAGAAGGACCATAATCACAGAAGGAGAATCCTCCACGGTATATTTCACAAGCATGTTCACAGCTGACGTTTTTCCACTGTAATGGGTCATTTACTGGGAACTTTTTTATCCTTCATTTTGCCAGACTATTTAGTCTCTTAGCCACTTTTACCTACTTTTTAGTTTGAAAATGTAGCTGTGGTTGGGCAAATGATCATATATATGAATGTGGGTGCTTGTATATTTCCCCCATCAAAACAGAACCTTTATTTTGCATTTAGAAAGCTAAATCAAGCACCTGAAAATAATAGTTTTATGTTTAGCACTAACTGGAGAAAAAAGGGGGTGTATAAAAACAGGAGGTATAAAGTTGGAGAAAAAACAGGATGTACATAATGACTTTTTTTGTGCATGAGGTGAATTGCCAAATCTGCTTCAGATTTGGTAGTTTAAATGTTAGAATAGTAGAAAACAATAACTACATTTTATAGTAAAATATTAGCACTTGCAAGCAATTTTTATTTGGTAATTTTCATAATGTCTGATTATGCACATTTCATTACCTAGAAGTTCTTCTCACAGAAGTCAGGATGCAACAGTTAGAACTGGACATGGAACAACACACTGGTTCCAAATAAGAAAAGGAGTACGTCAAGGCTGTAGATTGTCACCCTGCTTATTTAACTTATATGCAGAGTACATCATGAGAAACGCAGGGCTAGAGGAATCATCAGCTGGAATCAAGATTGCTGGGAGGAATATCAATAACCTCAGATATGCAGATGACACCACCCTTATGGCAGAACGTGAAGAAGAACTAAAAAGCCTCTTGATGAAAGTGAAAGAGGAGAGTGAAAAAGTTGGCTTAAAGCTCAACATTCAGAAAACTAAGATCGTGGCATCCGGCCCCATCACTTCATGGCAAATAGATGGAGATACAGTGGAAATGGTGGCTAACTTTATTTTTCTGGGCTCCAAAATCACTGAAGATGGTGATTGCAGCCATGAAATTAAAAGACGCTTACTCCTTGGAAGGAAAGTTATGACCAACCTAGACAGCATGTTAAAAAGCAGAGACATTCCTTTGCCAACAAAGGTCCGTTTAGTCAAGGCCATGATTTTTCCAGTGGTTATGTATGGATGTGAGAGTTGGACTATAAAGAAAGCTGAGTGCCAAAGAATTGATGCTTTTGACCTGTGGTGCTGGAGAAGACTCTTGAGAGTCCCTTGGACTGCAAGGAGATCAGTCCTGGGTGTTCATTAGAAGGACTGATGTTGAAGCTGAAACTCCAATCCTTTGGCCACCTGATGCAAAGAGCTGACTCATTTGAAAAGACCCTGAAGCTGGAAAAGATTGAAGCAGGAGAAGAAGGGGACGGCAGAGGATGAGATGGTTGGATGGCATCACCAACTCAATGGACATGAGTTTGAGTTAACTCCAGCAGTTGGTGATGGATAGGGAGTCCTGGCGTGCTGCAGTTCATGGGGTCGCGAAGAGTTGGACACGACTGAGTGACTGAACTGAACTGAACTGAACTGATTCTTCATTGAGAGCTTAGACCAGCATGGTTGCAAGATACTGGTGAGGATGCTCATATGCCTGGCATGGCAAATAGAACTGATCAGCTAAGCCATTTAACTGGATGGTTGTTCTCTGTAGGTAAGTAGAGGTTTGGTTATACCCATGAGTTAGCCCAACCTTCATTCAGAATTCACTGACCATTTTGGAGAGTTACTGCATTTTATTAAGAATATGTGAGTGTTGAGAACCTCACTAGATTTTCTGCAGCATTTCCTAATGTGAAAATGATCTCCATATAGGCATTCCAGTTAGTTTCCAGTATTACAAGGTTTCTACCTTTTTATTTATGGTTATTGTTTCCTTAGGAACCTAGTATTTATCAAACACAGGATCCATTTTGCATGCTCACCTTTCTTCTTTTTCAGATAATCAGTGACCTTAAGTTTTGAGCATCTTATCCTTATTACTGACGACCAGTCTCTTATCTAATGCTGCATTAAACTTGATTTACTGCTTTATCTATACTACTTTAATCTTTTAGAGGCTTATAATATGGGCTCTTTAATAAAATGTTTTATTATATGAATAACCTTTCTCTACTTTTCCAGGTTTCTCTACTTTTGCTCACTCACCTCTGTACCTTTTCCCTTCTTTAAATATTCATGTTTCCTATACAGTCCAAAATACTTGTTTCTATAGAAATGATTGTGTTACCACAAAGTGTTCTGGTTTAGTTCTTAATGTTTTATGTTTAGATCTCCCAATCTTGGGAAAATATAAATGCATCTCTTGGTGCTGGTGGTAAAGAACACACCTGCCAATGCGGGAGATGTAAGAGATGCGGGTTTGATCCCTGGGTCAGGAAGACCCCCTGGAGAAGGAAATGACAACCCACTCCAGGATCCTTGCCTGGAGAATCCCACGGACAGAGGAGCCTGGTGGGCTGCAGTCCACGGGGTCACAAGAGTCGGACACGACTGAGTGACTGAGCACACAGCACGTTGCTAGAAGAGTCCCCATCCTGAAATCTTAAAATATTTTTTTCCCATCCAGCTTCACGGTCACCTAATATTCTCTCATAACTCCATAGGATTTGAACAGGCAATGTAGTGTAGTAGTTAGGAGACTAGACTCTGAACTCAGGCTAAGAACCAAGTCCTGGTTTTAATGCTTGCTAGCTATGTGACTTTAATGAAGTTTAAAAAAAAAAAACTCAAGGCCTCAGTTTTTCTCATCTGTAAAATTGAGATAATAGCACTTAGTTCATTAAATTTGACTATTTTTAAGAATTAAATAACACAATTCTTGTAAAGCTCTTGGCATGCAATTAACAATGAATGGTGTTAGTCAGCAGTGGCTGTCTTTATCAGAGTTATTATCAATATTAAAACATTGTTTCCACAGTCAACAATTTACTTAGCCTGAATTAATTTATTAGACTGTCCCCAGATACACAGAATTATGCCAGGATGTGAAACGGACGTTTTGAGTAAGGAGGGCAGGGAGTCGGAGTGGAAGGGAAGAGTCCAGACGCCGGCCAGGCGAGTCCTGTCGCCTGGGTTAACTCTTGGCCTCGGTGGCCCCTCGATCTTGCTGACCCGCAGAAACCGCCCAACCTAGACGTCCACCTGGGCTTGTGCCGGTGCCTCGTGAGAACCTAAATTATCCCCAGAACTCTGCTTCAGGGAAGTCTGAAAACCGAGTCTGTGGTGTTCCCACCTCTGCAGTCAAGGAAGGCATGTGAAAATAAGGTTGGAACGGCTAGTCCAGCCGTCCACTACGCTTCTTCCCAAATGTAAGCCCCCACATTGTAGCAATAACGGAGAATTTTTGGTGGTCCAGAGATTAGGACGCTGTGATCTCACTGCTGGAGGCCTGGGTTCAGTCCCTGGTTGGGGAGTGAAGGTCCCACAAGCCACACAGTGCAGTCAAAAAGAAAAGTGAAGCAGGAACAGCAAAAAACAAATTATGGCAGTAACAGCAGATGCTCCCTAACAGCAATGCCGTCTCCCCGAAGGAAGGCCAGACTTGCTGCGTCTGCGTGGGGAATGCTTCATTGTCCCTTTAGCCTGATCACAGGCCACTCTTTTTGTTATTTTTTAAAAATATATATTATTTCTTCACTTGGCTGTGCTGGGTCTCAGTTTCGGTACACGGGATCTTCGGTGGCAGTGTGTGGTTCTAGTTCCCTGACCAGGGGTCCACCCCAGCCCCCTGCGTTGGGAGCTCGGAGTCTTGGCCACTGGACCACCAGGGACGTCCCCACAGGGCAGTCTTGATGTTCCACAACCTAAGAGCTGAACGGTCGAGTTCGTCATGCCCCAGAAATGCTTTATAAAACAGTAGGGATGAAGGGAAGGGGAAGAAAGGGCAGTGATTAACATGTGTAAATGACCCACAGAGAACAGAGTGTGGTAGCCGTTAGGGTCCTCAGTCTCACCGTGGGTCACAGGTCACAGGCCACAGGTCACAGGTCCGGGGCTGGTGTTCACAGTTTCCCTCCTCCGTGCGGGCTCTGCTCCCCGCAGGTCTGCCGGGTGGCCGGGCTTCCTTGCCCAGTGGCGCGGTCTAACCTTTGTTTCCCAGGTGGCTGAGTTCTAGGCTGGCTGAAAGAAAGTGAATGTGCTAGTTGCTCAGTTGTCTCCGACTCTTTGCAGCCC